TGTGGGAATGTGTGTGAGAGAAGCAAGTGTGGGCAGGGAGTGTGTGAGCAGGAGTGTGAGAGCAAGTGTGAGCATGTGTGTGAAAGCGAGTGTATGTGTGTGAAAACGAGTGTGTGTGAAAGTGAGTGTATGTGTGTGAAAGCGAGTGTATGTGTGTGAAAGCGAGTGTATGTGTGTGAAAGCGCGTGTGTGTGAAAGGGCAATGTGAGCATTGTGTGTGAGAGCGAGTGTCAGCGAGTGCGGGCATGTGTGTGTGAGAGAGAGTGCAGGCATGTGTGGTGTGAGAGCGAGTGTGGTTGGTGTGTGGTGTTGTTGAGAGAGCGAGTGTAGTGATGTGTAAGCGTTAGTGTGTGTGTGTGGGGATGTGTGTGTGTGTGTGTGTGTGTGTGTGTGTGTGGTGGTGGTGTGTGTGTGTGTGTTGAGCTTGTGTGTGTGAGCAATGTGTGTGTGAGCATGTGTGTGTGGCATGTGTGTGTGTGAGCGCATGTGTGTGTGAGCGTGTGTGTGTGAGCGATGTGTGTGTGAGCGTGTGTGTGAGGTGTGTGTGTGAGCGTGTGTGTGTGAGCGTGTGTGTGTGAGCGTGTGTGGTGTGTGAGCGTGATGTGTTGTGAGCGTGTGTGTGTGAGCGTGTGTGTGTGAGCGTGTGTGTGTGTGTGTGAGCGTGTGTGTGTGAGCGTGTGTGTGTGTGTGTGTGTGTGTGTGTGTGTGGTGTGTGTGTGTGTGTGTGAGCGTGTGTGTGGTGAGCGTGTGTGTGTGAGGGTGTGTGAGAGTGGGTGTGTGTGTGAGGGTGTGTGAGAGTGTGTGTGTGTGTGAGGGTGTGTGAGAGTGTGTGTGTGTGTGAGCGTGTGTGTGAGAGCGTGTGTGTGTGTACTCGCCTAAGTGTTGTTGCAGGGGTCGATACTCAGCTCCTCACCGAGTGCTACTAGGTCCTCTCTCTCCCTGCTCCACGAGCTTTATCATACCTCATCTTAAAGCTATGTATGGTTTCTGTGTGTGGGTTATGGTTTGTGTGAGCGTGCGTGAGCATGTGAGTGCACGTGTGTGTGTGTGTGTGTGTGTGTGTGTGTGTGTGTGTGTGTGTGTGTGTGAGCATGTGAGTGCACGCGTGTGTGTCCTCACCTAGTTGTGGTTGCAGGGGTCGTGTCATAGCTCCTGGCCCCCGCCTCTTCACTGCTTGCTACTGAGTCACTCTTCCTACTCCATGCACTAAATATCATACCTCTTCTTAAAGCTATGTATGGATCCTGCCTCCACTACATCACTTCCCAGACTATTCCACTTCCTGACTACTCTATGACTGAAGAAATACTTACTAACATCCCTGTGATTCATATGAATCTTCAACTTCCAACTGTGACCCCTTGTTGCTGTGTCCCATCTCTGGAACATCCTGTCTTTGTCCACCTTATCGATTCCTCTCAGTATTTTATATGTCGTTATCATATCCCCCCTATCTCTCCTGTTTTCCAGTGTGTGTGTGTGTGTGTGTGTGTGTGTGTGTGTGTGTGTGTGTGTGTGTGTGTGTGTGTGTGTGTGTGTGTGTGTGTGTGTGTGTGTGTGTGTGTGAGAGAGAGAGAGAGAATGTGTAAGTGCATGTGTGTGTGTGAACACACCCAACTGTGGCTGCAGGGGTCAATCCACAGCTACTGGCCCCACCTCTTCACTAGTCACTACTAGGTCACTCTCCCTGCTCCATGAGGTCTATCATACCTCTTCTTAAAACTTTTTATGAATCCTGCCTGAACTAAATCATTTTCCTGACAATTCCACTTCCTGACAACTCTGTGACTGAAGAACATAAGAAAGGAACACTGCAACAGGCCTACTGACCCATGCAGAGCAGGTCCATGTCCCCTCCCCCCGGATTAGCGCAATGACCCACCCAGTCTGATCACCTCCACTCAAGGATGGAGCATGGCACCAGACCCAGCAGCACAAGCTAGTCAGGTCCAACTCACACTCGCTTGTGTATTTATCTAGCCTGAATAACTGTACTCGGGAGTTTGTTCCACTCATCCACAACTCTATTACCAAACCAGTGCTTTCCTATATCCTTCCTGAATCTTAATTTTTCCAACTTGAAACCATTGCTGTGAGTCCTGTCTTGGCTGGAAATTTTCGGCACGCTACTTACATCCCCTTTATTTATTCCTGTTTTCCATTTATACGCCTCAATCATATCCCCTCTAATTCTACACCTTTCGAGAGAGTACAGATTCAGGGCCCTCAGTCTATCCTCATAGGGAAGATTTCTGATACATGGGATCACTTTGGCATCATCCTCTGTACGTTTTCCAGAGCATTTATATCCATTCTGTAATATGGTGACCAGAACTGAGCAGCATAGTCTAAATGAGGCCTAACCAAGGATATAGAGAGTTGAAGAACAACCTGAGGACTTCTATTATTTATACTTCTAGATATGAAGCCAAGAATTCTGTTAGCTTTATTGCGAACACTAATGCACTGTTGTCTTGGTTTTAGATTACTGCTAACCAGAACTTCTAAATCCTTTTCGTAATCAGTAGTATTAAGATCTATATTATTTAGTTTATATGTGGCATGGTTACTTAACTGTCCAACATTTAGAACTTTGCATTTGTCAATACTAAACTGCATCTCCCACTTCTCCGACCATTGCATCAGTCTATTCAAATCATCCTGAAGTGCTCTAGTGTCCTCATTAGAATGAATTGGACGGCCTATTTTGGTGTCATCAGCAAATTTGCTTATGTCGCTATTTATTCCCTCATCTATGTCGTTTATGTAAACTGTGAACAACAACGGGCCCAACACTGACCCCTGAGGAACACCGCTTGTGACGTGCCCCCATTCTGATTTCTTCCCATTTATACAAACTCTCTGCTGCCTATTTGTCAGCCATGCCTCTCCCCAGGAAAAAATTTATCCTCCTATTCCGTGTGCCTTAAGTTTCCTCAATAGCTTCTGATGTGGAACTCTATCGAAAGTCTTACTGAAGTCCATATACACAATATCATATTCATTACCATGATCTACCTCCTCAAACACCTTAGTGAAAAAAGCTAGTAAATTCTTAAGACAGGAACGCCCCTTTGTAAAACTGTGTTGAGATTCATTAATCAATCTGTGCCTATCAAGATGGCTACGAATTGCTTCGGCAATTATTGATCCCATAAATTTTCCCACTATGGAGGTAAGGGCGGATGCCAACAATTTCGTGCGCTTTGGAAAAAAATATCAAAAAATTATGGAAATTGAGTTATTCATATAGAAAAATAGCTTAACTCTTTGGCAACACAATGGTACAAGAATCAATGCTCTACGACGTTTCTACAAGAAATTATAGTCATTTATATCAGGTATGGTGACGGCGGTGTGGGTAGCACATCTGCTGTCAGCCCGTATATTTTTTGGAATTTTTTCCTTGTTTTTTATCGCTTTTTCTTGTATTCTTTCTAATATAATAATTGACTATTTGGCATCATATAAGAGTAGGCGGAACTTATCAGTAGACTTCTAGCCAATCACGAAGCACCTGGGAACACCGGCAGTATTCCCGCTCCAGAGAGCCTGGTGAAATCACTTCATTATTATGCTTTATATCAACTCTACGGCTTATTTATCTATCAGAATTGATCTAATATGACATATTAAACACTATAAATAACATACAAACATGTTATATACTCTAGACTAAATAAAATAGGCCATAATATGGCAAGAGTCCACCAGCAATATTTCGATATAAATGAGTTACTCATCTCCACGTCATATTCTTTGGTCTGTGAGTGATAGAAAATGGCGTTTTGAAGAGAATAACTGCACTAGAACATCAGTTTACTAAGAAAACCACCGAAACAAACGCGATTTTCGCGAAAAAAAAAAAAAAAAAATTTCAAGACGGCAGGCCAGCCGGCGTTCCAGGTCAATATCTCGGAAGTAACTTATTCACTTATTTCGCTTTACTTCGCCATTATTAATGATTGTATTAAAATGATTTTCACAGACAATATAAAACAGTGTGTGTTTGACTATTAAAAGTGGCTTTTTTTGGAATATCTCAAATATTTTTTTATTTTGTGGGGGGTAAAAGGCAGATATTTTGGTGAATGCCAAAAAGTCTATCAAATGTATTTTATTTTTTACCATGATAATAAGATATATTCGATGAAATGGCTTCTTTTAAAAGTCGTGTTAGACGTATTCTATCAGTTGGGATTGTCGGAAGTGCCACTCATAGTGCCAATTTGTCAAGCCATGCTGCCATATATCAAAAGTCAGTAAATATTTTTTTCTCTGTTGTTTGTTGGCCAATCATACTGAAACTTTGTCACCTTCTTCTACATATGCACCTCTAAACGTACACCAAAAATAAAAGAAATCGGTTAAAAATAAAGCAGCTAGCCAAAATTGTCGGCATCCGGCCTAAGGCTTATTGGTCTATAGTTTGAAGCCAAGGATCTGTCACCTACCTTGTAAATAGGTATTACATTAAATAGGTATTGTGACCACTTTTTTCTGTGTCCTATCTCTGGAATATCCTGTCTGTCCACCTTGTCAATTCCTCACAGTATTTTATATGTCGTGTGTGTGTATCTTGTGTGCATGCACATGTGTGAGTGCACATGTGAGAGCGCATGTGTGAGTGGTCATGTATGCATGTGTGCATAATCACATGTGAGTATGTGCATGTGTGCAAGCACACGTGCATGCGTAAACGTTTATACGAAGTGCTCTACACTGTATATTTATTGTGTTGTTAATATTTTTAACAATTCATGAGAAACTGGCAACATTTCCTGTGGCTGAGTTCCAACTAAACAAAACTCAAATGCTAAAAACAGACACCAAAATCACTTTGCTTGGAGGAGGGAGGGGGAGGAGGAGGGGGGAGGGTTAAGGAAAGGAAAGGAGGGGGATAAACCATGTACTAAACGGCTATGTTAACAATTCTGAATGTGGCAGCATGACAAGTATATGGTTAGTTCAAATGCTGCCAGAAATAAACTTAAACTTACACAAAGCTTGTTTTTTGATGATGGGTGATGCGTTCAACACGATTTACCTTCTCCAATCGACACTGCTGAGGATCGCCGGGACCCACTCACCGCTTGGGGTCGAGGGAAAGCTTTGTTTACCATCAAGGGACTTGACACTTAACTACACTATTTCTTACTCATTACTTAGTTATAAAGTTACTAAGCTATTTATTTGTCACTATCCTAGAACTACCATTACAAAATTTAGAAAGTATTGTTAGAAAATATTAGGCTATAACCAAATATCTAGAATTAAATTTACAAATAAAATTCTAAGATGCCATTATACAGAGTCAAAATTTTGGGAATATGTTAATGTAATTATATAAAAATGTCACCAAAAGTCTAAATAAAAATAGGTAGAGGAAGTATCAAAATTGCATTAAATATGCAATATTCCTCAAAGTCATTATTAAAACTTTCTATCCTTGGTTAACCACAGCTCACAGGAAACTACTATTATATCTTATAAGAAGCAACTAGTTCTGCAAGTTCCATTAAATCCTTCATTACATTCAGTGCGCAAGTGAATGTCAAAATGTTTACTTTTTTGCACTGTAACCCTTCATCCCTCATTAGTAAATAATAAGTTTTGTTGTACAAAAAAATAGTATCACTAACACTTTTACCTGACACTATAATCAGGATAATTACTTATTCTGAAACTTCCATCCAAATTTCAGAAACAAAACTGTGTGCCAAACACAAGATAGAAATGCAAAAATAACACAAAAGCAGTATAATGTGAGCCTTTATTGACAACGTTTCACCCACACAGTGGATTTTATCACATCACAAACAGATCTGTTTGTGACGTGATAAAGCCCACTGTGTGGGTGAAACCTTGTCAATACAGAATCACATTATACTGCTTCTGTGTTATTTTTCCATTGTGTCGGTAATTTATACCATTTATTTCCACAAGCAAGAAATGTTTTAAAATTCAATTGCAAGGGATGAATACACCACATGTTGTTCCTGCTTGCTTGCAGTAAGGTACAAGAGCATACAAAACAGAAATCAGGAACAGCCTGATTGGTCAGACACCTGTGGCTGAAATCAGTGGATGGAGGACTTGACCTCCACCACTCGTTACACTGAATGATTTCCCCCACAAATTTCCAACTTGATGTAATATAATATTAAACTGTTTACAAACATTGTCTCTATGTACACAGCAGGACTTGAGCCTGCAAACTCTGTATCAGAGTCCACAGCACTTTACCACAAAGCCAGACCCCAGTTAAGTATGGGTGCCTAGCCATAGCTGGACGATGCTACCCCGTACCCTGGGGCACCAGGCTTGTTTTCAAAGTTATTTCATCAAATCCTGCCACATGCAGTGGACAACGAAAGAGATTTGAAATTTCAAATATTAAACTATAAAACATTCCCATTTGAAGATTGCAATCAGTGTCGGCAATGCATTGTGATCACCACTAGAGCATGATGCAAGATGACACAGGATGAAACCTATGTTACTGAATATCCTCCTAGCCTGTCATGAGACTCAGCTGTTCATTGAAGAAATTATTTTAAATACCTAGGAAGTTGTTGAAGACAATGAAAAATACAACTTTATCTTGTATGGAAGAGTTAGGTAATTTTTGTATAATGCTAGTCACATCACTGAACCAATGGAAGCTATGATTCTGAGCAATGGTGGAGAGTTTTGTTAGAATAAAAGAATTAAGAAAAGGATGTGAGAGCAAAATAGTACACAACTGCTTGTTAGTGATCTAAGGTTCTTAATGCATGGGAAAATTACACAAAACAAGAAAACCAGTGTGTTAGTAGCAGTCACTAAGGCTTTGTATACATTAAATATTCTGTTAGGCATTCCAAGTTAATAACTAAAGCACTATTTTAACTTGTAGGCTACTGAAAGAAAAGAGAAACATAACAAAGAATGTAACTAAGAAATGCTATATATATTGATGAAATATTAGTTACCCCAATATCTGCTTTTTTTTTTTTTTTTTTTTTTTTTTTTGTAGAGAACTGAGGAAAAGAAGCATACAAAATTTTGCAAGTGTAGGAGAAAGATGAGAATGGTGCCAGACAATGCCAACTGTCCAGTAGTTATGAAGAGCATGACCAAGCATTTCATAATTTATTTTATATACTGTACTGTCTGTACTTGTATTCTTTGAGCCACTTGTCACAAACATGTGGCTGCTCTTGTGATCCAACTTTATATTCCCCTGAGAGGGTGCTCGACAAACCCTCCATTACTGCTACCTGTTCAGGTACTGGAGGACTTTGTCTGTACTTCCATATTTATATTCTTTCATGATGTTGCTTGTATTCTTGGTGTCCTAAATTAATGACTCAGTTACTATATTTATATTAACTTAAGGCATTATGACTTGTGTCAAGCAACTTGTACATATCCTGGATAATCATGGATATAAAGTACATTAACATGCTCTTTTAATCACTATTCTTTCTGACACACATCAAACTCCAATACACTAAATATATTCTGCAGTGTTCTGAACATTTTATCTTTGTAATGTGGGTTCAATATGTTTCAAATTCTAATTTTCATTTCTTAACTTTTCAACAAAGACAGTTAAAATTTATTTCTTTAAATAATTTTTTTTTTATGTACCACATTGAAAAGTTTTTTATTTTATTTTAACAGTTAACTGACATATGATTGGAGATTTTGTTGTTCTTAAATTCCACAATAATAACAATTCTAATATTTTCCATAAAGGATGATAAGGCACTTTACTGGCATGCCTATTTTGTTTTTGTGTGCTATTAAACATTTTCTGCAGGTGTTTACGAAGTCTGTGTATAAAGACTTGGCATTCTGATTGTCCACCCATTCAATCACAGTTATACAGTTAGTCACCAACTGCAAGAGGCAGGAACATCCTGCTCTAAACCCATGTTGATTTGGGTTGTGAGAGGCAGAAGTATCGTTCTCTAAACCCATGTCATCCTGGGTTATGTGCGAGAGACAGAACTATCCTTCTCTGAACCCACGTTGTCCTGGGTTGTGGGCAAGAGACAGGAATGCCTTGTTCTCAACTCATGTTGTTCTGGATTGTGTACAAGTTGTGATGAAAATGTTTATCCAAATTATCAGATGTAAATTATCAAACTGTAATTTACAATACAGTAAGGTACAACAATTACAAATCCCAAATTTACAATAACTCCTATCAAAAATATGCAATTCCTTGTTTTACTCTGTTTTCTGGAACAAGAATTTATCACAATACAATAAATGGTATTAAATTTTACAACAAAAAACAAAATGCTACTGTAGATAGATTTAGTTATTCTAACAAATTTGTCCCTAAAACAAAATAAAATCTTGCCATCACTGTTCTGGCTATGCAATATGTCACATGGAAAATATATCCGCTGCTTTGATAGCTAACCAAATGCACAGAGAATAGAATTCTCGCATCAATGGTCAAGCATCTATGATGGAGAGAACACAGCATTCAAACACAATACTAATCCTAATTTCCATGATTGTGCTATTACCTAGTCTATGGAGAGGAAAAAAACAAATATTAAATTTAGGTTCTTGGTAGGGTAATCTTAAATAAATCATAGTACCAAACATGAACAAAAAACAAAAACAAAAAAAATACAAGTTACATTTTTACAATGAAACCTTTCAAAATTAACAAGACCCTTGTCCTCAAGATATACTATACTACATTGCTTAAGAAGCATACCCCCTTACTACAGTACATTAGATAATGTTCCTACCTGCAGCCCTTAATAAATGCAAAGACAAAGGTAACATTTCTCTGAAGCATCAGAGAAAATATGGTTGAAAACAGTGGCATATTAGGGGAAAATTACTGTAATTATGGCTGACACTAAATGTAATATGCATAATGTCAACTAGGATGCTCATGAGGCTCATTTTTTATCATTACTATTATTCTTGCATTTATGAGAAGCACTAAACCCCTGTGGGCTTTTCAGTGGTGAAAGTGGTTGAGGCTTGATCCACCATCTGCTAAGCAGAAGACACACTATCCTTGCAGCCGAGCTTTTTACCGCAAGACAAGGAGAGGTTTCATTCTTTGACTACGTCACATTAGTATTAAGATAAAAGATTTATTAAAAAGATAACCACTCTTATCCCATCAAGACTTAAGTAGTTTTTAAGTATTATGATTTGTCTGCCTGAAATGCCCTGGCAAGATACTGTAGTGGCTTTCTTTGTACTACTTAACAAATCAAAATTGTAATTACACATTGTAAACTTTGTAAAGAAATAAAATCTTTATCATTTTATGGGCAGTGCACATACTGGTAGAATGAGCTTTGCACTTTAAATAATCAACAAACCATAATTTCCTTATTGTTTGCAATACAAAATCAAAGGAATTAAGACTTATCACCTAACAAAATAAAAATTTCTTACCTACTGTTATCAACATATGCATTATTGTGTACAAAATTTATCTTACCTACTGTCATCACATATGTATTATGCACAAAAATTAAAAACTATTGCTTGATTGAAAATATTATAACAGATTAAAATAATTCAGTTTCTAAAATATTTCTTAAATATGTAATATTTAATAAGCATGTCCAATGCTGGTGGGAATAACATATATAAAATAAATTTATACACACTGGGATGACATTCCTATTCTATTCCATGCTTGATTAGCATTGAATTCTCTCATTTTCATATATGGGTCATTTCCAATTGAGATGCTACAAAAACCATACAGAAAACAATTAGAAAACTTTGGAAGATGAGCCTTAGATATACAGTTTTAGAATCATTTCATTTTAGAAGTGGAGAAAGTTTTAATTTCTGTAATGCTTTTCTCTTAACAATACTTTTACCAAATAAATTATTTGAAAAGTGGCTGGAAGTAGTTCATAGTTACTCAATATCTCTTTGCAATTTAAAAATAAGATGAAACTTGAAAATAAGAAACTGTATAATCATCAATGTAATCTGAAAATGATTATGCATACGAAAAAGGTTTTATATGGAGAAGATTAGAAAATGGGCAGAGTACATACAATTTATGTAAAAGATTCTCTAGTTATCACTGCATTACTGTCAGACTTCACTTTAAGATAAGATAAGATTTCGTTCGGATTTTTAACCCCGGAGGGTTAGCCACCCAGGATAACCCAAGAAAGTCAGTGCGTCATCGAGGACTGTCTAACTTATTTCCATTGGGGTCCTTAATCTTGTCCCCCAGGATGCCACCCACACCAGTCGACTAACACCCAGGTACCTATTTGCTGCTAGGTGAACAGGACAACAGGTGTAAGGAAACTTGTCGAATGTTTCCACCCGCCGGGAATCGAACCCGGGCCCTCCGTGTGTGAAGCGGGAGCTTTAGCCACCAGGCCACCGGGCCATAACAGTCACAGATTTCTCTATATTCATTCAATCTTTCATCACAGAAAACTTACTTTTTTTTTCCATAGTTATACATCTTAATCCACTATAAACTTGGGGATCTTTGTTATTTTCAAATTTGGAATATCACAATGTAACTGATGAGTTTGTTAAACTTTTGTTCCAATTGAGAAATATAAAAAGTCTACTAAAACATTAAAACTGAATAAAATATACTCTATATAGAGGTACGTATAGCAAAAATACAACATACAACAGTACCGAGAGAGATCTTATGATTCAACAATTCAGGAGAATCTGTTGTTTTAATTTCAATTTTAATTTAAAAATTCACATAAAACTGCATTGAAATAAATTTTTTTTACCTAGAGCACAGGTTCTCAGCCTGAGGTCTACAAGGGTAAATTCAGAGGGGCCATGTAGAGTCTATGGAAAATAAATAAAATGTATATTTAAAGGAATCAAATATTCTCATGAAGTTCACATGACCTTAAATCACAAAACATCTCAAAATTCTCTGCCAGGAAGTTAACTTAGTGCATGAAACTTTTCACTCAGCTCATGGAATTACCACTAAAAGATGTAGTGTTCTTCTAAGGAAAAATAAAAACAGCTTCCCTGGAAATTTTTTAGATCCAGATTTGGTTCAGAGCCTGGCTTATTTTGCAGAGTTTTTTTTTTTTTCTAATTTGAATGACCTGAATTGTTTGATTCAAGAAGTTGACACATAATGAAGATCATGGAATGGGAAAAGTTTAAAGCCTTTCTGTACAATGTACCCATCTGGAAAATGTAGTTTGCGAAGAAAAATTATGCAAATTGGTCAAGAGTGGAATCACTGATGCAAGAATAATGTGAAGAAAATTTGCTCAATCACATCATAGAAGAAATGTTGACCAGGAAGAGAATGAACCTCAGTTTACTCACATACTTAATGACTTTTACAATCTTAATATATTTCTATTTAAATAATGTAAAACTAATTTATCCTAAAGACCACATTAACCATAATATATAAACTAAGACTTCCACAAAGTCTGAACGTTTCTCAACCTTCCCTTCATTTCTATACTACAATCCACCTTCATTTTTTATTTTTCGAACACTGAATTTATAGGTAAAGAACTGTTATCCTACTCGACTTATTTCAAAGCCCAGCCTTACGTATATTACCCCTTCCAGAGGATGAAACCCAAAACAGTAGTTTAATACACCCAGATACCAACACAGTTTTGTGAAAGCAACAGCACCAGATGGAAAACTCTCAGAACTCATCAAAGGAATATCAAAGATGGCTTTCCCAGATGTTATGACCTGCCTTGTACTGAACCCTGGTCTTGCAGTTGCAAGTCAAAGGCACTATACCCTTTGGCTGCTTCTTTTGCTAAACTTCACTGATGCACTTCTAGTGTAATTACATAGTTACCAATGCCAGAAACTGTGTCTCAACCCTGCAACTACAATTGGGTGAGTACTATCTCTCATCACAGCAAACTACTGTATCTCTTCTTCCTCATTCCAACAAGTGTTAAAATCAGCCCTAATATACAGTGTTATGAATCAAATACTTCAGGTGATGGCACCAACTCCTTATATTTTAAATCATGAAGCGTTAAAAGAATTTATTATCCATATATTTAGCATTTGATGCTTTTTTTTCAAGACTTTTTAGCTTCATGCAGAATCTAATTAAATGGAGCATTTCAATCATTTTCAACTGCTGAAATTTTTAAAGCTGTGTTTGAAATGCTGGCTGAAGAATTCCACACACTGATTTAACCGTTACAAAACTAAAGTTAGGATAGCCCCCCCCCCCACTTGCACTCAGATGAGAATGAATTGAGAGATCTTAACAAATACATAAGAACACACTGGCAGAATGAAACTCAAACTTACAAAAAGAAAATGAAAACAGACTTGTTTCTGGAAGAACTGCACCACGAGTGAGAAAGAAAAATAGCAGACTACTATGTAGCACTCCAGTCAGTGCTGCAAAACATTAACAAATATTCAACGAAAAAAGCAATCCTTTTTTGTTTGGAACACTAAAATTTCCATGAGTAACTGAGGTAAACTTGTGTTTCAATATTGAAAGTTGATGTTTCACATACAAAATGTCAATCTGAAACAGAAAATTCTTCACACTTTTTTTTATAACATTACTCATTTCCCAGACAGGTAAGGTGACCTAAAGGAGGAATTGAACTCACCATATTTGTTGCAAACACAACACTGAGTATTCTCTTGCTCAGCAAATAACTTCATCTTTCTTACCCAACATATGAATAATAAATAAAAGTATACATTTTTTGTGAGAACAATAACACTAATGTGATTATGTGCCATGCTTCCTCCTGTATACTTTACTTAAATAATTTACAAAGCTGTATGACACTGTTTTACTCAACCAACAAAACAGTATCATCTACAGATGAAAATACTAAATTTGCATTTTGAACCACTTTGATTTTAGCATTACACAAAAGTCAACAACTGCTACTTTAATAATATGCTGACTATCCATTCAGTATTAAAATTTATCGTACACAGTAATGTAATACTTAATTATTTTCATAGTTTTTTGCCTCACATTCTCTTTCCTAAGTATACTGAAATAGCAACTAAAACTGAAATTATGATAAACAGTACAGCACAGAACTGAAGCATGTGTGAATCATGAATGGTCTAAAACTATTAGTATACTCTAATAAAAATGCAGAAGTTATGTAACTCCCTCCTTTGGCCTCTAATTCCAAAAGGAAGGTTATTCAAATTTTTTTTATAAATAAATGGTTATATGAATAAACAGTAGGATGGACAAGAGGCTCAAACCACGGTCCCAAAATCGACAGGTCCGTCACTCTATCGCCTCAGCTACCGGGTTTCTAATAGGAAAGATTTGGATCTAGTACTTACTGCACTATGATAAGAATATCACAGTAAGACAGAGTTTAATCTCAAACATAAAATATCCATCCAGTTAAAATGTTAAGCTATAAAGATTTATGGACTTTTTCTATAGATGATAATCTTAATTCAAAACTGTTTTCCCTTTATTTTCTTCTGTGGGTGATAAGTAGCCTTGGAAAGATAGATTTCCCTTTTTCTTTCTATGGATGATCAGTAACCTTGAAAAGATAGTTTTACCTTTATTTTCTTCTGTACAACTTAAAATAAGAAGTTGCATGGTTTACCTTTAATTTAGTGTAAATAAATAAAAGGTATCTAAGGCCCATTAAAATACATCTTAACAGTTACATGACGACACCATACATTATGTAAGACAAGAGTCTTATTACATTGACTTACCATATCCCTGCCCTTGCAGGAAGAGACGGAAGGCTTCCACCACTTTGCCTGGAGCTTCATCTATCACCAGTCCACAGTCCTGGATCTGATGATGACAAAGAAATAAAGATTCCAGTTGATCCTTAATCCTTCACAATTTGAATGTCTGGATTTCAATCAAAGAAGTGGGGAAAAAGGAATGGAAAGGAGATATGGAAGGGTCAAAGTATCTTCATTGTGTGAGTTAGTTTATGGTCTCCTGTAAAAAAAATCTACAACATAAACAATGCTGGAAAGCAAGGTAGTATATTTACAAGATGATGATCCAAAATTGAAGGTAGACAGCAATCGACCAGGAAGGTACTACTGTCCTGCCAAGCGAGTGTAAAACGGAAGCCTCTAATTGTTTTACATGATGGTAGGATTGCTGGTGTCTTTGACCAGGAAGGTACTACTGTCCTGCCAAGCGAGTGTAAAACGGAAGCCTCTAATTGTTTTACATGATGGTAGGATTGCTGGTGTCTTTTTTCTGTCTCAAACATGCAAGGTTTCAGGTATGTCTTGCTACTTCTACTTTCACTTAGGTCACACTACGCATGCATGTATGAGCATATATATACACCTCCCTCTGGGTTTTCTTACAATCTAATTATTATATTCATGGAGAAATACTAAACCAACAGGAGGGGAGAAGTGAATTATGTAGTAATCATGGATGGATAAGGTAGCTCCAGTTCCTTGAATCAAGAGTTCTTTGCCAACTTCAACATGCCCCTTAAAGAACAGAATGACACAATACCAAGATACATAGTAGAGAAGATTTAATGTCTTCAAAAGCTTCTCTCTCCTATGAGTGCATTATTTGTACAATGTTCCATTAGGAGGATTCCCATTACAGAATAAAATAAACAAAAACACTCTGGCATTTTCCTGTGGAACATCCTGTAGTGTGCACAAATGCACACCTCTCACTATAACATCTGGACCCTCAACTTTAGTCTCTCTCCACAAGCAGTACTGTGATGCTGCTGAAGGGCTCTCGATTCATGGAATTAGAGCTACCCTTCAATGGGTCAAACCTGATTACCTCTTATTTTACAGCACTGTATAAACTCTATGGGTTTATTGCTTTTCTTATTTATTATTATTATTATCACACTGGCCGATTCCCACCAAGGCAGGGTGGCCCGAAAAAGAAAAACTTTCACCATCATTCACTCCATCACTGTCTTGCCAGAAGGGTGCTTTACACTACAGTTTTTAAACTGCAACATTAACACCCCTCCTTCAGAGTGCAGGCACTGTACTTCCCATCTCCAGGACTCAAGTCCGGCCTGCCGGTTTCCCTGAACCCCTTCATAAATGTTACTTTGCTCACACTCCAACAGCACGTCAAGTATTAAAAACCATTTGTCTCCATTCACTCCTATCAAACACGCTCACGCATGCCTGCTGGAAGTCCAAGCCCCTCGCACACAAAACCTCCTTTACCCCCTCCCTCCAGCCTTTCCTAGGCCGACCCCTACCCCGCCTTCCTTCCACTACAGACTGATACACTCTTGAAGTCTTGAAGTCACTCTGTTTCGCTCCATTCTCTCTACATGACCGAACCACCTCAACAACCCTTCCTCAGCCCTCTCGACAACAGTTTTGGTAATCCCGCACCTCCTCCTAACTTCCAAACTATGAATTCTCTGCATTATATTCACACCACACGTTGCCCTCAGACATGACATCTCCACTGCCTCCAGCCTTCTCGCTGCAACATTCATCACCCATGCTTCACACCCATATAAGAGCGTTGGTAAAACTATACTCTCATACATTCTTCTCTTTGCCTCCAAGGACAAAGTTCTTTGTCTCCACAGACTCCTAAGTGCACCACTCACCCTTTTCCCCTCATCAATTCTATGATTCACCTCATCTTTCATAGACCCATCCGCTGACACGTCCACTCCCAAATATCTAAATACATTCACCTCCTCCATACTCTCTCTCTCCAATCTGATATCCAATCTTTCATCACCTAATCTTTTTGTTATCCTCATAACCTTACTCTTTCCTGTATTCACTTTTAATTTTCTTCTTTTGCACACCCTACCAAATTCATCCACCAATCTCTGCAACTTCTCTTCAGAATCTCCCAAGAGCACAGTGTCATCAGCAAAGAGCAACTGTGACAACTCCCACTTTGTGTGATTATCTTTAAACTCCACGCCTCTTGCCAAGACCCTCGCATTTACTTCTCTTACAACCCCATCTATAAATATATTAAACAATCACGGTGACATCACACATCCTTGTCTAAGGCCTACTTTTACTGGGAAATAATTTCCCTCTTTCCTACATACTCTAACTTGAGCCTCACTATCCTTGTAAAAACTTTTCACTGCTTTCAGTAACCTACCTCCTACACCATACACTTGCAACATCTGCCACATTGCCCCCCTATCCACCCTGTCATACGCCTTTTCCAAATCCATAAATGCCACAAAGACCTCTTTAGCCTTGTCTAAATACTGTTCACTTATATGTTTCACTGTAAACACCTGGTCCACACACCCCCTACCTTTCCTAAAGCCTCCTTGTTCATCTGCTATCCTATTCTCCGTCTTACTCTTAATTCTTTCAATAATAACTCTACCATACACTTTACCAGGTATACTCAACAGACTTATCCCCCTATAATTTTTGCACTCTCTTTTGTGCCCTTTGCCTTTATACAAAGGAACTATGCATGCTCTCTGCCAATCCCTAGGTACCTTACCCTCTTCCATACATTTATTAAATAATTGCACCAACCACTCCAAAACTATATCCCCACCTGCTTTTAACATTTTTATCTTTATCCCATCAATCCCGGCTTCCTTACCCCCTTTCATTTTACCTACTGCCTCACGAACTTCCCCCACACTCACAACTGGCTCTTCCTCACTCCTACAAGATGTTATTCCTCCTTGCCCTATACACGAAATCACAGCTTCCCTATCTTCATCAACATTTAACAATTCCTCAAAATATTCCCTCCATCTTCCCAATACCTCTAACTCTCCATTTAATAACTCTCCTCTCCTATTTTTAACTGACAAATCCATTTGTTCTCTAGGCTTTCTTAACTTGTTAATCTCACTCCAAAACTTTTTCTTATTTTCAACAAAATTTGTTGATAACATCTCACCCACTCTCTCATTTGCTCTCTTTTTACATTGCTTCACCATTCTCTTAACCTCTCTCTTTTTCTCCATATACTCTTCCCTCCTTGCATCACTTCTACTTTGTAAAAACTTCTCATATGCTAACTTTTTCTCCCTTACTGCTCTCTTTACATCATCATTCCACCAATTGCTCCTCTTCCCTCCTGCACCCACTTTCCTGTAACCACAAACTTCTGCTGAAGACTCTAACACTACATTTTTAAACCTACCCCATACCTCTTCGACCCCATTTCCTATGCTCTCATTAGCCCATCTATCCTCCAATAGCTGTTTATATCTTACCCTAACTGCCTCCTCTTTTAGTTTATAAACCTTCACCTCTCTCTTCCCTGATGCTTCTATTCTCCTTGTATCCCATCTACCTTTTACTCTCAGTGTAGCTACAACTAGAAAGTGATCTGATATATCTGTGGCCCCTCTATAAACATGTACATCCTGAAGTCTACTCAACAGTCTTTTATCCACCAGTACATAATCCAACAAACTATTGTCATTATGCCCTACATCATATCTTGTATACTTATTTATCCTCTTTCTTAAAATATGTATTACCTATAACTAAACCCCTTTCTATACAAAGTTCAATCAAAGGGCTCCCATTATCATTTACACCTGGCACCCCAAACTTACCTACCACACCCTCTTTAAAAGTTTCTCCTACTTTAGCATTCAGATCCCCTACTGATTACATCATAAGTATACACCTGGGTATCTTTTTTTGAGGGTGATTAACCAATCAGTGATTTTTACAAATTCAGTGCAGAGATATATACAGGAGACAGTGGATGATGGGTCAATCATTGGCAAAAAAATCTTCAAAATAAAGATCCCCAGGTGTTGTACATATTTTTAATCCATCAATAATAATAGAAAAAAATGGTAAAAAGATGCATACTGCAGAAGACTTCTATCAGTACAATGACAAAGCTTCGTGTGTAGGTGAGACACTTTTGCTGTACAATTTTTTTTTTTGAAGCTAAATGGTTCAAAGAACCGACGGAATGACAAATTTAGACACTTGAGCAACACTTGGCATTGAGGGTCTGATTATCTCTAACTACTGATCTTCAACCATTCTTTGCATAGGGCTAAGGAAGCCACTGGTTGGTGAAATATTTCCACAATAACGATACCCAAGTGTTGCACAAGTGTCTAATTCATCATGTATTTTCTTTACCACTTGTCAGCTATGGCCATTTACCAATAAATAAGAGTGCCTGAATATGCAAACTTACCTTCATCCATGTTGCTAGTGTAGGGTCCAGTCTTCCATTGAAGGTCACAGTGTCCTCAATATGAGGAGAATGATTGGCGGTAATATTGAGCACCTGGCACCGGATCATGCGAACATCCTGTGAGAAAGATTGGCTTTACCTGATACAGTACAATATTTGAAAAATAATCTTGCCATCAAGCTCAACAAAGTTGATGCTAATCTTATCAGATCTATGGAAGAATTTAAAAAAAAAAAAAATAAAAAAATAAAGTATCACAAATCAGAACTTCTGAAATAATTTTTTTTTTTTTTGTAGAACCTGAAAAAAGCATCAAAATTTGGGAATAAACTTTTGTATATGGTCTTTTAGTATATGTGTAATATCCTCAAACTGTGTTGGTAAAAATTGGTAAAGTCATTTTTATTAAAGTGCCCTGTGGCCTGGTGGCAAACGCTCTCACTTCACACGGTGAGGATTCGGGTTTGATTCCTGGCCAAGGGGTGGAAACATTGGACGCGTTTCCTTACACCGGTTTTAAGTGCTTTTGTAAACATATTTTTGGGGGGTCTGAAACAGATTGATCTAATTTTCATTATTCCTTATGGGAACAAATTCGTTCAGTATCGGCACTCGAATAGCCTTCTGTAACGAATTAAGCTCATAACTCAAGGTACCATTGTGGTAGTATGCCATTGATGTCAGCTAGGCCTGTATACCTTGTACATGTACTTGTAGTAATTAAATATATTATTATTAAGAATATTATTTTTGTAAGTTAGGACTAAGGATTAATATTATACTGTGTTCCTTGGTTATTTTTTTTTTTTCAACAAGTCGGCCGTCTCCCACCAAGGCAGGGTGACCCAACAAGAAAGAAAATCCCCAAAAAGAAAATACTTTCATCATTCAACACTTTCACCTCACTCACACATAATCACTGTTTTTGTGGAGGTGTCCAGAATACAACAGTTTACAAGTATATTTTTTTTTTTTTTTTTCAACAAGTCGGCCGTCTCCCACCGAGGCAGGGTGACCCAAAAAAGAAAGAAAATCCCCAAAAAGAAAATACTTTCATCATCATTCAACACTTTCACCACACTCGCACATTATCACTGTTTTTGCAGAGGTGCTCAGAATACAACAGTCTAGAAGCATACACATATAAAGATACACAACATATCCCTCCAAACTGCCAATATCCCAAACCCCTCCTTTAAAGTGCAGGCACTGTACTTCCCATTTCCAGGACTCAAGTCCGACTATATGAAAATAACCGGTTTCCCTGAATCAAGTATATATATGTATAAAAATACACAACATATCCCTCCAAACTGCCAATATCCCGAACCCCCTCCTTTAGAGTGCAGGCATCGTACTTCCCATTTCCAGGACTCAAATTCAGTTATATGTTTATCAAATCCATTGATTGTTAGTACTGGATTGTATATGAATGTGTTAATTTTATATAAATTTTTTACATTTATATCATGGACATATATGGATTTTTTTTTTATTTTGGAAGCTGGTGATTAGATTTGAAATTAAAATTTAATTTAGTTTCTCTTTTTCATCAACTGCACTGACTTAATTATATCATTATTGTTTGATGCCAAGTCTGGCATTCACATACTGCTTTTTAATTTTTATAGAGAACTGTTTAAGTTCATAATGAAGATTAAATTTAAGAAGTTTAGGATTATAAATGTATATGTAATGACTCTGGAGTGTGAGCAAGGTCACATTTATGAAGGGAATCAGGAAAACCAGTTGACAGACTTGAGTCCAGGAGGTGGAAGGTACAGAGCCTACACTCTGAAGGAGGGGTGATCATGATGTGGTTCTGAGGGCTATCCAAGATAACAAATGAATGAATGAAGATTAATGTGTTAACTTTTTTTTTTTTTTTTTTTTTTTTTGGGGGGGGGGGGGGGGGTTCCCAACCTTGGTGGTAGATACCCAGAATTAAAAAGAAATAAATCTTTTCTGTCTGTATCTGTTCATCTGTGTCAAGTGAACAGAGGGAAACTGACAGTAGGTGGCACGTGGCATTCATCCATTACTTATGAATCTGGAGTGCCACTGCTACAGACAAAAAACATAAATGATCAGTTGTTTGTTTCAGTGTATGAAGCTGGGGCAATAGTATTTACTGAGTGTTATGCAAATTCTATTTGGCTATACAAATTTACTGCCATTTATAGGAAGGTAGTACAATAACTTGTAAAAAAAAATTTTTTTAACACATTGGCCGTTTCCCACTGAGGCTGAATGACCTGAAAAAGGAAAAATACTTTCATCATCACTCACTCCATCACTGTCTTGCCAGAGGTGTGCTGATACTACAGTTCAAGAACTGCAATATATCAATACCCCTCCTACAGAGTACAGACACTGTACTTTCCACCTCTAGGACTCAAGTTTTGAGTTTACAAAACATGCTAATTTTTTGTAGAATGATGTTTGGTTATTTGTGGCATTATCACATTTTAAGCATAAATCAGGCAATTAAAGCAGAATAGATGATTATTTCAATTAATACTTTATTGAATATTTTTTTTTTTTTATTATTATCACACTGGCCAATTCCCACCAAGGCAGGGTGGCCCGAAAAAGAAAAACTTTCATCATCATTCACTCCATCACTGTCTTGCCAGAAGGGTGCTTTACACTACAGTTTTTAAACTGCAACATTAACACCCCTCCTTCAGAGTGCAGGCACTGTACTTCCCATCTCCAGGACTCAAGTCTGGCCTGCCAGTTTCCCTGAACCCCTTCATAAATGTTACTTTGCTCACACTCCAACAGCACGTCAAGTATTAAAAACCATTTGTCTCCATTCACTCCTATCAAACACGCTCACGCATGCCTGCTAGAAGTCCAAGCCCCTCGCACACAAAACCTCCTTTACCCCCTCCCTCCAACTTTTCCTAGGCCGACCCCTACCCCGCCTTCCTTCCACTACAGACTGATACACTCTTGAAGTCACTCTGTTTCGCTCCATTCTCTCTACATGTCCGAACCACCTCAACAACCCTTCCTCAGCCCTCTGGACAACAGTTTTGGTAATCCCACACCTCCTCCTAACTTCCAAACTACGAATTCTCTGCATTATATTCACACCACACATTGCCCTAAGACATGACATCTCCACTGCCTCCAGCCTTCTCCTCGCTGCAACATTCATCACCCATGCTTCACACCCATATAAGAGCGTTGGTAAAACTATACTCTCATACATTCCCCTCTTTGCCTCCAAGGACAAAGTTCTTTGTCTCCACAGACTCTTAAGTGCACCACTCACCCTTTTCCCCTCATCAATTCTATGATTCACCTCATGTTTCATAGACCCATCCGCTGACACGTCCACTCCCAAATATCTGAATACATTCACCTCCTCCATACTCTCTCCCTCCAATCTGATATCCAATCTTTCATCACCTAATCTTTTTGTTATCCTCATAACCTTACTCTTTCCTGTATTCACTTTTAATTTTCTTCTTTTGCATACCCTACCAAATTCATCCACCAATCTCTTACAAATATATTGAATAATGTATAGTTTGCCTAAAAAATTCACAGGGGGGGGGATTATCATTCCATGTGCAACTCAATCTTATTGACATTTGTTATGCCAATACCACTGGCCAGCCTCAGAAAATGTATTCTTGTTTAGGATACAGCAAAATATTAGATTTACTTCCCAATAAATACTAACATTTAGTTATTCTTACCTTCTTCTTGTTGGGGTCAAGCTCTCGCACAATGCCCAGATCAGTGCGGCGAATATAGGAATCAACAAGAAGGCCAAGATTGGTGGCATTTAGTGCCTTCTCAAAGTGCTGTCGATATACAGTTACCAGGTCTTGATTGCATTCCTCTCTCTTGCCTAAAATAATGATGAAGCATTGCTAGTAATAAGAACCAACATGATATGCAAACTTTCATAAAAATACCTAAAAACAGTACAGTGGACTCCCGACTTATGATATTAATTCGTTCCAGAAGGTTGTTCGGGTGCCGTTACCGAACAAATTTGCTCCCATAAGGAATACTATTGTAAATTAGATTAGTCTATTTCAGACCCCCAAAAATACACTTACATAATTGTTCGAGTTGGGAGCTGATTGTAAGCCAGGGGTCCACTGTACATAACAAAAAATATAAAAATAATTTGTAATAGACCTACTACATCCATAAAATAGTACAGTGGACCCCCGGATAACGATCAGCTCCCAACTCGACCAATTATGTAAGTTTATTTTTGTAAGTGCTTTTGTAGGTGTATTTTTAGGGGTCTGAAATGGACTAATCTAATTCACAATATTTCTTATGGGAACAAATTTGGTCTATAACGGCACCCAAACAGACTTCTGGATTGAAATAATATCGTTATGCGGGGGTCCACTGTATTTTAATGCATTTTTTACTAATGCTCAGATGTTCATCCTTACAGTACTTTCTGCAATACCTTGTATAAGCTTAGCATTCAGATGATAATTTGGATGTTGCATGGTTTAGACTATTCAGTACAAGAATTTTAGCATATTAATATGCCACCAACACTGGCTCATGAGACATATCTATACGGCACCAACAGTGAAAGGGTTAAGGTGAATATAATCCAGGTTATTTGTAAGGTCAATATAATCCAGAATATTTTTAAGATGTTCTAGGTAGTAGGTTGGTAGACAGCAACCGCCCAGGGAGGTACTACCGTCCTGCCAAGTGAGTGTAAAACGGAAACCTGTAATTGTTTTACATGATGGTAGGATTGCTGGTGTCTTTTTTCTGTCTCATAAACATGCAAGATTTCAGGTATGTCTTGCTACTTCTACTTACACTTAGGTCACACTACACATACATATACAAGCATATATATACACACCCATCTGGGTTTTCTTCTATTTTCTTTCTAGCTCTTGTTCTTGTATATTTCCTTTTATCTCCATGGGGAAGTGGAACAGAATTCTTCCTCCGTAAGCCATGCATGTTGTAAGAGGCGACTAAAATGCCAGGTGCAAGGGGCTAGTAACCCCTTCTCCTGTATAAATTAGTAAATTTTAAAAGAGAAACTTTCGTTTTCCTTTTTGGGCCACCATGCCTTGGTGGGATACGGGCGGTGTGTTGAAAAAAAAAAATATATATATACATACACCCCTCTGGGTTTTCTATTTTCTTATTAGTTCTTGTTTATTTCCTCTTATCTCCATGAGGAAGTGGAACATAATTCTTCCTCTGTAAGTCAAGAATGTCATAAGAGGTGACTAAGATGCCAGGAGCAAGGGGTTAGTAACCCCTTTTCCTATATAAACTACTGAGTTTAAAAAGAGAAACTTTTCTTTTTCTTTTTGGGCCACCCTGCCTCAGTGGGATATGGCCGGTTTGTTGAAAGAAGAATAATTATATCCTCATGGACAACATTCGTATTCTTGTATTTCCAGGTACATAAACAGTTATTTTCTCATTTCTCGTATTCCACATTTATGCCACTTATAATTCTTGAAGTTTTACTTTTTTTTTTTTTTTAACAAACCGGCCGTATCCCACCAAAACAGGGTGGCCCAAAAAGAAAAACGAATGTTTTTCTTTTTAAATTTAGTAATTTGTACAGGAGAAGGGGTCACTAGCCCCTTGCTCCTGGCATTTTAGTCGCCTCTTATGACACGTGTAGCTTACAGAGGAAGAACTCTGTCCCACTTCCCCAAGGAGAAAAGAAGAACTGAACAAGAACTAGTAAGAAAAGAGAAGAAAACCCAGAGGGGTGTGTGTATATATATGCTTGTACATGCATGTGTAGTTTGATACACAAATAACCCACACATAGGAGAGAGGAGCTTAGGATGTTTCTGTCCAAGTCGGACTGAAACGTCGTCATAAGCTCCTCTCTCCTATGTGTGGGTTATTTGTGTATTGTTCCAATCATAATATCATGCCTTTTTGCTATTTATGTATAGTGTGACCTAAGTGCAAGTTGAAGTAGCAAGACATACCTGAAATCTTGCATGTTTATGAGACAGAAAAACAACACCAGCAATCCTACCATCATGTAAAACTATTACAGGCTTCCATTTTACACTCACTTGGCAGGATGGTAGTACCTCCCTGGGCAGTTGTTGTCTACCAACCCACTACCTAGGTCTCACACCTTTTAACTTTGTTAAATTCAGTATTAGGATGTTCAGCTTAATTTCATTCATAACATTAACACTTAGTATGCTTTTGAATATTCTTACTACACCCACGCACATTTAAATCCCCTTTTTTATTACACATAGAAATGGATGATAGCATTTTCCCGGATGATTGCTATATACCAACATACTATTGAACTTAAAGTGCATACAGTATAATGTGAATCTTACCAAAGTGATGCCATAGGAGGTAATCTACAGTGCCTGTTGTCATGGTGCCAGAACGGAGGTGACGAATGTTAAGTTTCTGGTAACCCCATTCAATCCATCCAGCTTGGGTGGACGAGCAATTAACTAGGACCAGAGCATCTACCTGTATAAACGATGAAAATTAGGTAAAGAGGAATTTTAATAAAAAATTTCTTAAAAATATTAGTTGAAAACAATTGATATGAAATCACAAATTCTTAATGGAGAAGTTGCTTTTTCTGTAACTAAAATCTACCTTCTTGCTTTCCTAATTTTTGCTTTTTTTATACATGTATCAGATTAAACCCTATGCACTTAGTGGAATCAGAATAATAATAATAATAATAATAATAATAATCTTTATTTCAACTAGTAAATGTACAAAGTATACAGGCCTAGCTGACATCATTGATGTACCACTATGTAGAAAGTCCCTTGTTGTGCAGAGCATTTTGGGTAAATTAGGTTAATTTTGTCCCCAGGATGTGACCCACACCAGTTGATTAATGCCCAGGTACCTATTTTAATGATAGTTGAACAGGGACAGCAGGGGTTTTAAGGAAACACATCCTTATGTTTCCACCCATACCAGGAATTGGATCATGGACCTCAATGTGTGACCCAAGTGTACTAGCAATTGAGCTATGGGGCCCAAGCCTCAAGCACTTCAGTCAACCAGTGCCAATCAGCATCCCCCCCCCCCTAGCCGACCAATCCTTTTCAACAAGTGGACCTAGAGTAATACGTAACATTATATTCCATTTTAACATAAAATAAAAATGTATTATGGCTATGTCTAATCAGGATTGTAATTTTACACCTCTCTGGCACACTGGTGACAGTGAAAAGCATAATACAAAATAAGTCTTTCCCTGTATAAATGGAGTTCATGTAGGTGCTCCCAAATGGCAGCCAGAGCAAGCTGTCTCAGCACAAATAAATATTATCAAAGCAAGTGGAAATAACCAGTATCAGTTTGACATTCTCATTAAATTATTACTGGCAAAAGACCCCTAAAGGTTCTACAGGCGTCTTGGTAATTAGGAAAACTGGAGAAAGGTGGAAGGAACTAAGTCATGGGCAAACTGTTAAAATACTTCCCACACAGCGTGGCTCATCAGGCCCTGATCCACAGCGAAGCCTTGTTCATAGACTGGGCCACAGTGGCACTGACCCCCGAACACCCTCCAGGTGTACTCCAAGTGTATACAGTCAGCTGCATACAACAAGCTATACAAGGTAAGGGGTGAGAATGGCATGAGCACATCCACACAGGTGACTGTAGATGAGATATGTGTGTGCAATCCTTGACTGACAAATTCATCTCAAGTGATGATTCCTGTTGAAGGAGGAGGAGGGCCAAACACCCACATCCTGCTGAACTCTATACCTTGCTGCTTATTTGTAGGGCCTACTGGTCAAGCTGTAAAACTAACTGGTTCTACAAACCTTATTTGTATGTGCAAATGTGTGTAACTTAGGGATCTGCTGTACAAGTGGTACTTACATCACAAGGGTACTTTGTGGCATATCGTGCTAGGATATTGGCCCCAAGACCCACACCAAATCCAATAAAAGTGCGAAGGTGAAAATGATTCTTGACACATGTGATAGTTTCGGAGAGTTCCTCCATTGTTGGATATACATATCTGAAATAAGAGAGGCCTATCAAAATCTGGAGTTCTAAAACAAATACAATATGACATTAAAGCTGTTATAATAATAATAATAATAATAATAATAATAATAATAATAATAATAATTATAATAATTATAATAATAAATAAAAAATAGTAATAAATAAAAAAATAATTATAATTAATAATTAATACTAACTAATAATAATAATACACTGTAATAGTACATGAATGTTAGTTGTTGTCCAATACATTTTTTTTGAAAAGTTTATAGTGGTATGTACTCTAACAAAGCTCAAGTGAAAATCTGTTACATATATATTTTTTTTAATCTAAAGCAGTGATTGTGAACTTTAGTAAGAGCAGCACAGAAATCCAGTACCAACATTAGGAATATCAGAGCAACATATGAGTGACTTCAAACCCTAGAACATCACTAGGTGGCCCGGTGGCCTAAGTTCTCACTTCACACATGAAGGGCCCAGGTTTGATTCCCAGCGGGTGGAAACATTTCGACACATTTCCTTACACCTGTCGTCCTGTTCACCTAGCAGCAAATAGGTACCTGGGTGTTAGCCGACCGGTGTGGGTCGCATCCTGGGGACAAGATTGAGGACCCCAATGACGCACTGACTTTCTTGGGTTATCCTGGGTGGCTAACCCTCCGGGATTAAAAATCCGAATGAAATCTTATCTTATCGTATCACATGAATATTTTCCGCTTTCTAACTTAACCCTTTGAGGGTTTCGGCCGTACTAGTACGGCTTACGACCCAGGGTTTTTGACGTACTAGTACGCCTAAATTCTAGTGCCCTCAAATCTAGTGGGAGAAAGCTGGTAGGCCTACATATGAAAGAATGGGTCTATGTGGTCAGTGTGCACAGTATAAAAAAATCCTGCAGCACACAGTGCATAATGAGAAAAAAAAAAAAACTTGGACCGTGTTTTTGGAATAAAACAGCGACTTTGCACTGTATTTTCGTATGGTATTTATTGTTGTATTCTAATTTTCTTGGTCTCATTTTATAGAATGGAAGACATATTACAGAAATTGAGATGATTTTGACTGGTTTTACAATGAAAAGTACCTTGAAATTGAGCTCAAAGTAGCAGAAATGTTCGATTTTTACCAAAGTTCGAAAGTAAACAAATCATGCCAAGCGTCCAATACACGTCAACTGGCGAGTCTAATACAGTGGATCCCCGGTTAACGATATTTTTTCACTCTAGAAGTATGTTCAGGTGCCAGTACTGACCGAATTTGTTCCCATAAGGAATATTGTGAAGTAGATTAGTCCATTTCAGACCCCCAAACATACACGTACAAACGCACTTACATAAATACACTTACATAATTGGTCACATTCGGAGGTAATCGTTATGCGGGGGTCCACTGTATTCTTTTGCAATGCGGCAATATTATTTATACCATTTTTTACACTAATGCAGTAGTCTGCATAACAGTAAATCTTCTATTTTTTGCGAGAATAAAAATTCAAAGTGGAAAGCAAAAGAATGTAAGAGGGGCCTTGAGACGTGACTAATGAACAAAGGAAATGTCATTTTAGTGCCAGGAATGTCTTTCTTGTTTATTCTGGACCCTATTCGGAAATTGGCATCTTTTGAAATTTGTGTGAAATTGGCAAAATTGCTAAATTCTGACCACTGTACTGGATAGTTAAAATTGGTAAATGGGTGGTTTCTTGCACTCATTCGATGGAAAAAATGGATTTCTAGCGAAATATTCATGTTTTTCGTCGACTAGTGCAGTGGAATTGGCCGAAAATGGGGCTCAAAGTGGGCAAAATCGCCGATGCGTAAACATCGCCGAGACCGCTAACTTCGCGGGAGCATAATTCCGTAAGTTTTCCACCAAATTTCATAATTTTGGTGTCATTATGATCGGGAAAAGATTCTCTATCTTTTCATAAGAAATTTGTCTTTTTTTTTTTAAATTTGGCCAACCCTGAGAACGAGTCTCGGAGAGGGCCTGTCGACCCTCAAAGGGTTAATATCCTTCTTGAATTAACCTTAAGTCAGATCTCTTATAAAGCTCCTCTACACAGTGTATTATTTTGGTAAATGTGATTTAAAAGTACATAAAAAATGTGCTTTTTAATTTTGGATGCACTTTTTCAATTTGATTTATCCAAAATACACTGAATAACTAGGTGATTATCCATGTATGCTTGTGGCTTTCATTTGTGCCTAACAATATGTTGTTACATGTCCTGGTTTGCGTATGTTCTCTTGGTTGTCGACCGACAATGTGACTGGCCCAGGTCAGTACAGCCACTACCTCACATGCTGTAAGTATCTCTGAGCTTTTGTTGTGCATCTTCTAAACTTTTTTTTGTTATTTTGCAGTTTTGGTGCAATTATTTTTATTGTGAGATAAACCATCATGGGTCCAAAGAAGGATAAAAAAAATTAAAGCAATAAGAAAAGTTGTAAAAAGCACTGTTGAGATATAGAAAAAAGTCATTAGAAAGTATTATGATGATGGGGTCTGCATGGTTGATATAGCAAAATTTTTTTGTAAATCTAAGTCTACCATTAGCACGATACTGGGTCAAAGGAAAATATTAAAGCACCTGACCTTCTAAAAGAAGTGTTAGTGATATCAAAGCAAAGGCCACAAATTATTGAGGAGGTTGAAAAACTCTTTGTTGATTTGGATAAACAAAAAAGTTACACTCCTTCCACACAGTAACATATCCCCTCCTCTCCTCCACCTACTGCTTCCAGTATGCCATTAGCTCTCCTCTGATAGCAGTTATATTTTAATTCACTCTACAGTATTTCAATTAAAGTTTCTTTTAGTATTCACTTTTTACAGTTTAATGTAGCAGTCTGCACATTTTTAATAAATTACTGGGGTCTGGAATGGATTAATTCTATACGTATAGCTTATTTTTAATGGGAAAAACTGCTTTGGTTGTTGTCTATTTTGGCTGCCGAATCAACATCTGGAACGAATTAAATTCAACAACCGAGGTCTCACTATACAATGTTTCACAACAAACTGGCTTTATCAAGTAGTACTTGATAAAGCCAATTTCTAGTGAAATGTAGAGCACTAAAGACCCCCTCTGTAATCAATGTCTTACTTGCCATACTGTTGATGCTTTGCCATTCTTTTCTGGAATAATATACACATCATTTATAAGTTCAGTACTGGAGTATGTAGCACCAGCATGGAACCCTGACCTCATGAATTGTATTAAGAAAATTTTAAATATTCAAAAGTTTGAGTATGAAGACATGTTAAGAAAATTGAAGGGCCATGCGAGACATGATAGCAGTGTACAGTAGATATAAAATACTCAGACATGGGAAAATGGGGACAGACATGGGAGGGTAGAGAACAGTAAGAAGATGCAAATCGTCAATTAAAATAAACCAGACAGACTTAAGAATTTCTGAGTGAGAGAAGTAAACAAGTGAAATTAATGCAACAGGAAGATACTAAATGCAGAAATCTGACACATCATATGTGAGGAATTGTGCAGCAGAGATGAATAAACACCACAATGGACTAAATCCAGGTCAGTGAATAAATTGATACCTTAATGTTTCATCTGTTTGTGGGAATGTGTAGTCTCATACATCTGGTAGCAGAGCAGGTGTTGTGCAACTTAACATTAAGATCAACAACACTCTAATTGCCAGACATAATGAGGGCAAATTCCTTGGCCTATACCTCGACAACAACCTAAATTTCAGCACCCATATCAACACATAACAAAAAAAGTATCCAAAACAGTGGGGATCCTCTCCAAGATACGACACTACGTGCCGCAAACTGCCCTTCTCACACTATACAATTCACTTATATATCCATACCTCACCTATGCTATCTGTGCTTGGAGTTCAACTGCAGCAACACACCTAAAGTCAATAATAACCCAATAAAAAGCTGCAGTAAGAATAATCACTAAATCCCATCCCTGGCAACACACCCCCTCACACTTCATAGATCTAAACTTACTCCCTGTTCAGAACATCCACACTTACTACTGTGCAATCTATATCTACAGGACCTTAAATTCCAACATTAACCTTGACCTAAAATGCTTTCTTGATAGTTGTGACAGGATCCACAGGCATAACACCAGACACAAACATCTCTATGACATTCCCCGTGTTCGACTAAACCTTTACAAAAATTCAATGTATTTCAAAGGACCTAAAATCTGGAACACCCTACCTGAAAACTCTAGAACTGCAGACATATTCATCACTTTCAAAACTACAGTTAGAAAACATCTTATCTCCCTGATACACCCCGACAACTAACTACATGATAACCACCTGGTGGTTCACAATTACACTCGCTCACCCACTGACTATAAACCCAGAAATACTAATCTTAATCTTAAAATAATAAATCCTAACTAGTCATAAGTTTGCCTATGATACTCCAATATAGACACTTTGTACTGTGCCAAAACAAAAGCATTCACATTGCTAAACTCACAAATTATGATGTAGTCACTTAGCCTTAATACCATAATCTGTAAGGATTTAATGTTAAGAATTAATCTAAGTCTGCCTGAAATGCCTAGCCATGCTAGGTTTCCTAGTGGCCCCCTCTGTAATTAGTATTTTATAGCATGTAAACCACACAATACCCAAAACCTGTAAACCCCACATTGTAACCCTTATAAAGAATAAACTTGAATTGAATTGAATCTATAAGTTAAGCCAGAGCCCTATAATGTGTGCTAGTTCAAGTTTCATAGCTCTGATCTCTCACATGTTTTTGTTTCTCACCATCGTCTGAATTTAGCCCTTATTCCTTTTTGCCACACAAGAGCTGCAGCTTAGCTCTACGCAAAACACTAGCTGAGTACACACATCTATACCCTCATGATCATATAACATATGATACATAAACAAAGGTTTCTAAAGGTAGCACATGAGACAGATACCATGAGAGCAGCAAACGAACTATGCACCAACAATGAAGTACTGAAAGTGTTGTGTTGACACTGACCCTTCTGGAAGTGTTGGGGCTCCCTCCTCTTGACCGGGGGCATTAACGTGAACAATACAGAAATTGTTGAGAATATTCCTCATCTCTGGGTACAAGAAGAAGGCCTGAAAAAGTGCAAGTGTATTATAAAAATTGCCAGCAATATTACATTTATATTTTGATTGTACAGTAAGAAATTGTACTTGGTAAAAGAATATGTAAATGCAAGTATAACTCCAGTATTCTACATACATGTATTGCACTACTTGCAAGTGCAAAATGCCAGTGAGATCCTGGTATTTCTGAGAATTGGCTACTTTCATGATACGATCAGATGCTCAGTAATAACCCACCTGGAGACAGAAACTCAGAGATTAACTGATCTGTATATTTCGACCCCCTTCTGGGATCCTCTTCAGCTGAGGAGGAGATTAGAAGGTCAAAATATACAGATCAGTTAATCACCTGAGTTTGTCTATGTGGGTTATTATTGTGTACTAACAAGTATTCATTACACCTTAGTTATTCACATGATGAGATTCTCATTTCATCTCTCCCTCTTTTGTAAATCAATGAATGCAGAATTAAAATAATAAGTGTAAGAGAAACTGTCAATTCTTTGGCAGTGCAGAAAAAAGGTGTACTCTGCCATTATAAAATTGTCACTATACTATATATATATTCACAGACTAATGAAACTAGCCAACTAAACATCAAACAATTTATTTATAAAATGTATACAACTTTCACAAAAAGCCCCAGTATGTAGAGCATTTTAGGCAAACAAACTAGAACTTAAAACTACTCGACACTATAGGTGAAGTTAAATAATTTGAATGCTAAGCTTAATGTAATTAAGTGGTTTAATGATACAATTATTAAATGTAATAATCATTTTAAGTACCTAAACTCTGTACAGTTTTGCTCATATGCTGCTGAAAAAGTGTGTTCAAATTTTAGTGTGCTTAAACACAGAGGCGTCGTAAGGGGAGGGGGCGCCCTGGGTGACACCATTTATGGGGTGACACCACAGAGCCTCTACAGAAGGTGACACTAATGACCAAAACCATGCTGCAGCAACCTAAGAGAAAAATTCTTCGTTTCTATATAGCCTATTATAGGATTACATAGTACAAATAGGCCTATACATGTATAGGGAAAATCGTTGATTTTGATGATGTGATAGATGATTTTGCAGGATTGAGGCAAGGAAATGAAATATCAGATTCTTTGAGATGTTACCTGTACTCAAGGTCAAATTGGAACTAGTGTTTTTTTTCTTTATTTTTCAAGTTTTTTTTTTCATTGTTGAAGATGAATAAATGTAGGATCTATTGGCTGTACTCAAAGTGGTGTTTGAGTTTATATTTCCTTAATATTACTACGATTATTTATTTTATCATTAATAAAGTTCGATTTATGGCCTTCAAACGTTCTCATTGCTAAACATTAGTCACTGGTCATGTAGCAGTGATGTAACTGGAGTTTACTACCCCTATCCCCCCGCCCTTGGATTTCATGGGGGTGACACCAAAGATGCCACACCGGGTGACACCAACTCTAGCGACGCCTCTGCTTAAACATTCGATATTGTAACATGTACATCTACCAAATAATTGAGTAGCATGCTTAATTTGAGTAGTACTGTACCATTTATAGATTTTCACTATGTGCTTGTTGGTCATGGTCAAATTGTTTACCCCCTACCCATAGCCTCCCACCATTCTTTTGAAAGCGAGTCAAATTTTGGAAAATATTAGTTATGTAACAAAAATGCTGTCTGGTGGATATGACTTACTCGCATTTTTGTACATGACTAATATTTTCCAAAATTGATGCAACTTATGAATGCTTAATTTATGTAAAGCAGTTGAATAAACAAGAAGAGAACATTCAGTGTATTAGTATCATGAATCTGCCTGACACAGCTTGGCATACAGAAATGTGGCTTCTAATTTTACAATGTTCACATGACGAAAGGCCCAGCTAATGCCACCTCTCACATTTTTGTAGTATTTCATCCTTCCTTTGACTTTATCACATGCATTAACCTTTAGTATATATGTACTGGGTATGGGTGTGGTGGGTTCTACGTACGTGTATTTGGTACAACTTGATAAAGAAACATGACATTTACTTTAACATCTGACAAGTACACAGCAGCTGATGAACTTTGTTACATTCAACTCTGCCCAGTAGGCAAACATTAACCCTCCCCACACTCATCAAACATTTCAATCAGTGACTAACAGAATGTGAGTTAAGTTAAACTGTACAAAAAAAAAAAAAAAATAGTTACTGACAAATTTGAAGGTGTCTAGAAAAACATTATTTTCCACTAAGTTCTTCACTTCCCATAACCCAATTTTCCAATAGTCCCCAATCTTCAGGAACATATCCCACACATGAGGGGATTTACTGCTTGTTAAAATAGCAATGTTAATATGAGGAAATTGTAATACAGAAGTGTACTGACAATCTTAGTCCTCCACATCCCTTGGTGGGGACGGAGGATGAACTATGTAATAAAACAGTCTTACCTGGAAATTGGTGACGTGATTGAGCCCAAGATCATGGTATGTGAGGATGACAGGCTTAGAGGTGTCGCCAGTGACGGCCACAGTGATGGGACCATGCTGGGTGTCCACTGTCTCCTTGCTGCCTGTAGACCCGTCCTCGCTCAACGACCGCGAGTTAGACACTGATAACTGGACATGCCGCAGTTCGATGTCATCCAGGGCATCGCTAGGCATCGTCCTGAAAATAACATCAATGATATCATTATCATGGAATGGCTGGCAACTGCGATACACGTACTGTACTAGTATTTAATCCTAGTGTTATAATAATAACAGTACATGGATGATGATGATGGATGATGATGTAACAGAAGCAGTAGCATCATATTAATGGTGTACTCTATATGAATAATAAGTGAGATGTATATGTTAAGTCGGCCCATAATGCCTAGGCATAGTAGAGGCTCTCTTTGCATTGCAACCCATTATTGTAAATACATAATATCAATGTACTATTTGCAAAGACATAAATAAATAAATAAATAAAACTTGAGGACTAGGAAGATGAGAAGTAATAGTAGCAGAAGAATAATAATAATTGTTGTAGCAGTAATAGCACCAGTAATAGTAATAGCAATAGTAACAAATAGTGGTAGTAGTAGTATTTTATTGGAAAGTACTAAACCCACAGGTACATGGATGATGATGATGGATGATGATGTAACAGAAGCAGTAGCATCATATTAATGGTGTACTCTATATGAATAATAAGTGAGATGTATATGTTAAGTCGGCCCATAATGCCTAGGCATAGTAGAGGCTCTCTTTGCATTGCAACCCATTATTGTAAATACATAATATCAATGTACTATTTGCAAAGACATAAATAAATAAATAAATAAATAAATAAATAAATAAATAAATAAATAAATAAATAAATAAATAAAACTTGAGGACTAGGAAGATGAGAAGTAATAGTAGCAGAAGAATAATAATAATTGTTGTAGCAGTAATAGCACCAGTAATAGTAATAGCAATAGTAACAAATAGTGGTAGTAGTAGTAGTATTTTATTGGAAAGTACTAAACCCACAGGGGGGGGGGACACAACACCTGGAGAACAGGATTTAATCTGGTGTGATCCAAGTAAAGGAAGGGCGTCTCCAATCTGATGAAGTACACAACATTTAACGTGTCCATCACTGGTACAGCTCTCAGTAGTAGTAACCAGTTACCAGTAACCAGTGTACCAGTAGATGACTCACTACCAACCGTCTCTGCCTGAGTCACTGTCTGTATTCATATTGCGCTGACCTCAGCAGTATTTCAAAGACCCCCACATATGGGTACTGTGGGCGGTCAGTTATTCGAGAGTGAACAAGGAGGTAGGTCACGGCTGTTTGGGCACTTCCCACATTATCCGTAATTATACGTACTACCAGCCTACGTGAGTATTACTTTAGTCATCCACTCCACCGAGTTTGTTCATTCCTCCAGTAAGAAAGAACTGATACCTTTATTCCAGAACAAACAACCTACTGGAAGGTTAGCCAGATGGACCTTGACTATCCAAGAGTTCAATCCCACCTTTGAGCATTTACCTGGCAAGTCAAATGTAGTTGCAGATGCCTTATCGCGACATGTTAGTATAGTAACTGCAGACCCTCCATTTAGTGCTGAAGATGTAAAGAATGCTCAACGAACAGATTCCATGTGGTCTGGTGTGATTCGATTCCTGCTCCAGGAAGATCTTATTCTGACTGTGAAGCCACCAGCACCCATCAGTGACTTTGTCATGAACCAAGAATTACTGTATCAAACAGCCGAGTTGGGTACTCCTAGCAGAAGAGTATACCATTTTAGTAATTCCACAGTCACTAGTGAATGTAGCTTTACAGCTAGTTCACGATGTACCAGGTGTTGCACACCCTGGTATGGATCGTTCAGTAAAACAAGCCAGATTGAAATATTTTTTGGCCTCGTAGGCAACTGATATTTTTTGAGTATGTTAAGAAATGTAGTGTCTGCATGCAATAATGCCCCAATTTCCAATCCAATGTATCCAACTACTAGCGAACCGTGGGAAAGAGTTGCGCTAGATTTTTTTAACTAATTTCCAATTTTTCCCTCCAAGGCAACAAACATCTGTGTTTTTATGGTAGACCATTTCACCAGATATTGTGAGTTAGTTTCCTATTGCAGATAAAAACTGCCGAGACAGTACTAAAGCGTTTAAAGAACGCATTATCTGCAGGCATACCACCCCTAAGTCCCTAGTAACAGATAATGGAGGTGAATTCTGTAATGAGATTCTTAAAAATTTTGGGTGCACTTGTACAAGATCTCTAAATCCACCATTGTTCCTCATCATCCTGCCAGCAATGGGTTAGCGGAACGAAACCAATAAGAAAGTACCCTTTAATGTCTTGAAGCCACTATCAATCCCAACAGTGAAACTTGGGATGAAGTTATACCTGATGTGCAGTGTGCTATAAAAATTTTGCTTACAATGTTTCTATAGGTGACACTCCACATTATGCATTGTACGGGGTAGATAAACGTTTGCCTTATGAGTTGTTATATTCTAATCCGAAACCAAATTACAACCCCGATGATTTTATACAACTCCTACCAGCTTAGCTCAAAGTGTTTTTTAGAAGAATCCCTGGGAAAAACTTCATAAATCAACACAGAATTTACAAGAGTCGCAAACACTCGAGCAAAGCCATCCAAAATCAAAGTAGGTTCGAGAGTTATTTCTGATTAACTTAACAAAAAGTCTGCAATCCAAAGCTTATCAAAAGTTTTTTGGTCCCCTTTTCGAGTAGTTGAACATATCACTGGGAATAAGTATAAGGTTAGAGAGATTAGTACTGGTCAGTATAAAGAATCACATTAGATCATATGAAGTTAGTATGTGATGATAATGAGTTCCAACCCAGACTAATGTTTACAGACCCCTGACAATCCTCCTGATCCTGTACTCTCTTCCTCTGATACTCAGCAGAAAGATCAACCTGAATGTCGTTATTCCCTACGTACACGACAGGTATTGAGAAATCCTCAAGTATCATTTGTAACTTCCAATTCAGATTGGGCCCCAAAATACAGCATGAGTTTTGCCAGTGCAACAGAGTTTGATCCTCCCAGAGATGACACCCATTCTGCATATGTCAATCTTAAACCCCAGCAGAGTTGGGGTTAAATGTAAATAACCTGTATAGATGAATAAAAACAGTATCAACTTATCAGTATTCAAGAATTTTTTTTTGTGTTCGCCCTCTCTCCCAATTCTGAGAGTTAACAGTCTAGATTTTTAGTGCACCGAATCTGCCTTTCTGTTTTAAACCCCTCTTTTTTTGTATATATTCCTTCCTCAAATTTCCCTAGATCACATGAATACAGAATCAATCGATCAAATTTTTTTTTTTTACTTCTATTGTGTAATCCCAACGTTGAGTTTCATTCGATGAGTTGTGCATATTTTAAACCCTTGTATTTCATTACAGTTTCAGTTACGTAAGCTTCCATTCCAATGTTCTACTTATGTATGTTATAATGTTTTAATTGTTGTGTACTTTGACATTGTATAAATCAGCCCAAGCCGTATACCTGCCATCTCTAGTTTGTATTAGTTGTATGTTGGGACCCACATACGTTAGCGTCGCCGAGCTCTCAGTAGTAGTAACCAGTTACCAGTAACCAGTGTACCAGTAGATGACTCACTACCAACCGTCTCTGCCTGAGTCACTGTCTGTATTCATATTGCGCTGACCTCAGCAGTATTTCAAAGACCCCCACATATGGGTACTGTGGGCGGTCAGTTATTCGAGAGTGAGCAAGGAGGTAGGTCACGGCTGTTTGGGCGCTTCCCACATTATCCGTAATTATACGTACTACTAGCCTACGTGAGTATTACTTTACCCTATCCACGTGTTCGAACCCCACATGATACAGCAAGCAGCAACAGCCTCCCTGATCAGGCTGTCAGCAGTAAGGTCTGGTGTAAGACTGCACTGCTGGGTGATGATCCTAACAAGTAATAATAATAATAATAATAATAATAATAATATCTTTATTTTACTACAAGTACATGTACAAGGTATACAGTCCTAGCTGACAACAATGACATACTACTATATAGAAAGTCCCTTGTTATGCTCCGCATTTCGGGCAAATTAGGTCAGTGTCCCAGGATGCGACCCACACCAGTCGACTAACACCCAGGTACCCATTTTACTGATGGGGAACATAGACAACAGGTGGAAAGAAACACGTCCAATGTTTCTACTCTGGCTGGGAATCGAACCCAGACCCTCGCCGTGTGAAGCAAGAGCGTTAACCACCAGGCCACCAGAGCCCTAAACTAAACTACACACAACATAGTACTGGTACATAACAGCTTATAGCGTATAATTGTGTACTGGAAAACAAACTATCAACATCTTGTTATACAACAAAACACAGTGCTGAACATCCAAACGTAATTTAGTAATGGCTTGCTTCATTATATTATATATTTAAGACTGAAAATAAAATGAATAAAAACGTTTCACCATGCATTATAAAATGGTGAAGCCACTATATCATTTAGGACTAAATGTAATATAGTAAATGTAATGCACTAGTGTGTTTCAAAAGTGTTGCTAATATATATATAATTTACTTAAATATATAAGCTCTGAAGTAGTCTGTTAATTGTAGTAACAAACTATATAGCAATCACATTGTCAAGACTGATGCTTGACTAGGATACATAATGTGGTAGTCACCTCATATTACTCACACACACATATATATATTATATATATATATATATATATATATATATATATATATATATATATATATATATATATATATATATATATATAATATATATGTATGTATGTCGTGGCGAATATGTAAAACTGGTCAATTAGCAAGAACTCATTTAAAAATAAATACTTTCTAAAATTTTCTCTTATACATTTAGATATATTTTTCATTCATGTTAATGTAAAAATTTATAATTTTGTATCAAAAGAACCTTAGAAAACTTACCTAACCTTATTATAACAAGCGCAATTTAATTTAGCCTAATCCAACTAAATATATTTTACATAAGTTTACAATAATTTAATAATAAACACAATCAAATACATTCTTTTCGTTACGTTTAGAATGATTTTTGCGAAATTATTGTATACACAAATTTTCGCTTGCCTTATTCGACAAGAAGACCGTTGCAAGTTTTACT